AAGAAGACTCATCAATCTCCCAGTGCTTTGTCCCCTTTACCTTTGGCCCAACATCGGTTTTGATGTTGTATTCTTCAAGAATTGCCATGACAAGGAGGGCATAGGGGAGCGGCCGATTGTCGGAGGTGGCCGTGAACATGTGAGTCATCACAAATTTACACCAATTGAGATTGGCGTTGTGAATCATCGCATGGATCGTCTTCGTGTCTTCTTGGGAGAGATTGGTGTGGTTGAACTTCCTGGGCTTGAGGATCCGTGTCAACACATAGAAGATGAAACGATACACGGGACTCATGGAAGAAATCGTAGGGCGCCGCTGTTGGGGAGTGGGTACGAAGTGACGGATGCCCACTTCCTCCAAGAGAGCGGTCTCATTGAACCGCGCCCCCTCTTCTCCGGTGTAGAGCCCGAGATCCTGTCCGTCCCGACGAAGCCCGGTGAGGATTTGAATGTTCTCTTCATTCAAATAAATGTCCACCCCGTTGACGTTTGAAATCAACGATCCGTCCTCATCCTTTTTCAAGTTCGAATAGAAAGCTCGAACAAGAAAAGGTTGATAATTGACCTTCTTAATGTAGAGGAGATCGAGGAAGTTTCCTTGTTCAAGGATAACCCGTGCCTCACGAGGGATGGAGTCATGAATGAAGCGGGCAGTGGAGAATCGGGGAGGGAGAATTTCCCGATGCTCAAACTTCTCCGAGAACCTTGTAGCCTCTTCGCGGTCGTTGAACCAGAGAAACGACCCGTCAAGGTATTTGTGTGTTGATGGTGGAGGAGCCGAGGAAGAAGCCACGTTCTTGCCGGTGCGGGATCTTTTTCTTTGATCTCCTGCCATTTCAACAAAGAGAGAGAGGGAGAGCAAAAAAAAGAGAAATTTGCAGGGATTTTGCAAGAACACTGAAGAATAATTGCAAGAAGGATGAAATATTGATGAATATATGAAGGAATTGTGATTTGAGTGAGTAAAAATGAAAGGATATCACCAATATATAGTGGAGTGGGCTGGAGATCCGTTGGGAAGTTCAAAACATGCATTAATTGCTCTCCAAACGTCTNTCCGGAAGTGGTATGTGAATCTTCTTCTTTTCATCATAATAGAAGAAGTAATATGGTTTCTTTTGCGTTGATTCCTGCAGGGATTGGTTAGAGTTCGAATATCCTTTTTGAAAGGATTTCATTCGGTTAGTTCCATGCAGAGTGTGTGTTTTGTTATACGTGTAATGCCTATGCCTACTAAAACACACGGGTGCTATATGACCTACCCTATTGCAATAATGACAAACAACTTTTGGATTATGCATTCTCCTAGGTTTTCTAACTTGATCATTGTTCATCCTAGTGTTCTTTCTAGGTAGTCTAGTGTTCCTAATTGTTCTACGTTGTCTATATTCTTGGTTTTCATTATTCCTAAGTTGAGCTTTAGGTTTCCTAGATGGTTGCTCAACTTTTTCCTTATTATTTGGTTCATTTTCAAATCCTAAGCCATGTTTAGTAAGTTGCAAATTATCAAGAACATCATTAAGGTTTATATGAGAAACACCAAACTTCTTTAAAGTTCCTTCAAGTTTTGCAACTTGATCCTTAAGTGATATACAAGAACTACATTTTGAACTTTCCGGTTTGTCGGTGCTTCTTTTTCCGAAAAACTTATTTTCTTCTTTTAGTTTTTCATTATCTTTTGATAGTTTATCAACTTCCTTCTCCATGGAAGTAAGTTGTTTCTTCAAATCCTTTTTAATTTTAGAAGCGTTGACATATTCATCAAAAAGTTCATTAAAGGCTTCTTGTACATCATCAAAAGTATAGGAATCTTTAGAAGTGGTACATACCTCTTCCGGTGGTTCCTCGTGTGCCATGAGACAAAGGTTGGCACTTTCGTTTTCTTCGCCTTCCGATGATTCGTCGCCGGAATCACCTCCCCATGAGATGTAGGCTCGGTGCTTCTTGAACATTTTATTCTTG